GGCCCAGCTGTGTGACTCCAAGTCTGGATGTTTCTCTATTTGCCATGAGTGGGTTTTTTGTTTTTGCTTTTTGCTATGCAACAACGGCGAGTGTGTGCGTTCATGTTCCTGTGAGAGCGCCCATGAGCATCACTGCGCCTGGGGTGCTGGCTGGCATCCAGTGAACGGTCCGGCCCGAGACTCTGCGGCAGCGTGTGTGTCCGTGGCGATAGCGTGGGGCCGAGTGACGCGGCGTCAGGTTGTGTGCACTTGTGCGCGCTCGCGCGTGTGCCTCCGCGCGTGGGTGGATTGGGACCTGTGGTGTGTGGTTGTGGACTCAGGTTTCCTGTGTCGTGTATTTGTCTTGAGGGGGACGCCCCCTCCCGCTGCCTGTGGAACCCCCATTATGCCTCCCTCTTTGAGGCAGCCCCCCAGTACAGGATTCCCCTGCCACCACTCGGCCTGCAGGCGGGCGGGAAGTGGGGAGCCGCTGGGGTTCCAGACAGGCGAAGAGGAAGGGAGGGGCCAGGCCGGCCCCAGCCCCGCCTCCATCCCGAGGGGCCCGGGTCAGGGGGACGGGGGAGGCCGGCCCCGCGGAGGAGGGGCCCGAGCTCCGGGCTGATGGGGGCGCGGCCAACATTCTTCGGTCCTGCCTGGAGATGGGGACTCTCCGGCGCCCGGAGGGGGACAGGACAGCCTCTTCCTAATGCCCACTCCCACCGCCCATCTCCAGCGCCTGCTCCCCACGAGCGCACAGAGAGGGTGTCCCCGCCCGAGTCACACAGCGTGTTGTGACAGCTGAGACCCCCGGCCCCGCAAACGCTCCTCCCGACACCCCCTCCCCCTGTTTATCTCCCAGTGCTCCGTGGCTCCCCGGGATTCTGTGTGCCCTGGGCAGGTCCCTCGTCCTTTCTGAGCCTTGGTTCCTTGAGTCTCCACAACATTTATTGAGCGCCTGCTGTGTACCGGCTCTCGGGACTGGGTCGGAACACGTTGATACCGCTCGGGGAGTAGAGGGTATGATGGGGAAGGAGAATGATAAAAAGCTGGAGAGTCGGTGGGATAATTTCACGGAGTGCCACGTGCTGGGCCGGGGGCGGGGGTCTCCGGTGGAGGGGGACAGGACGACGGCAGGGTCAGCCCGGCTCTGGAGGAGGGAGAGACGGGGAGGCTCCCGCTGCCCCGTGAGCTGCAGAGGGGGAGGCGGGCGGGAGCGGCCAAGCGCGGTTCTCATGGCAACGGGACGGCTCTCCAAACACAACCTCGGCGCCGGCGGAAAAGCCCTAGAACAGCGGGCGTTGGGCCCCCACGCGGCGTCTGGGAAGCTGAGCTGCGCGCACATCCAACCACGGCGCATGCATTGCAAGAGCAGAACCTGCAGAAAGA